CTTTGAAGAACAACGCCTGGAGTATATGCTACACCATACTCAAAGGTTCCCCAGCATCTCCATGCAGTTCCAGTTTTATTTCCCAACCAGAAGAGTTTTCTGGTCATGTTGTTGTTGTTTCCGACACTCAGGTTGGATAGCAACAGCAACAACCTCAGCTGATACTGCCTACTAGACCAGTATCATTCCCAGTACTATTCCCCCCCCAGTCAAGTGCAGTTTGCCTCAGCTGCATCCATCCCCAGTTCTCAAGGAGCGGAAGCTCAGTGCTTTCCGGTCATGATTGTTGTTGTTTCTGTCATTTGTGTTGGACAGCAACAACAACAACCCCAAGTGTTTAACCCGCCCTGTGACTAGATTTGTTGGTTTATCCCCAGTTTCTTCTTCAAGAAGATGCTCCATGAACAGCTGTTCCTTGGGAGGGCTCAGCTGTGATTTGAAAGATGTGAGACGGTTTCCTTTTTTCTTTTTCTTTTTGGATTTTCTTTTTTTTTGATTTTTTCTTTTTGACTACTCCACTACATGTGTCCTCGCCCACTAGGTTGCCCTTACCTTAATTGGCTTGGCAGTGTGCTTGACACACATTTCCTTGATCACTGCATGTGGTGACTTGCCTTTAGGCTTGGCAGTGCCCTTTGAAATGATAATGGCATGGTTCTCATCCATCCAAACTGTGACCCAATTGCTTTTATGTCCTCTGAATCCAGCCTCAGGCCTCCATTGGTCTGTCAGTGTGCATAGAACTTGGTCACACCTCCACAAAACCTCCTCCAAGGGAGGTGCTGCCCCTCAGTGTAGCTAGGAGCATTCTGCTCCCTAATCCAGAGAGGCTCTGGTTCTGGCCATATAGTGCCTCTTCTAGTTCACAAGGTTAGATATAATATTAAGATTTTTTTTCTTTTGATTTCAGAAGTTGAGAGTAGCAGCGGTGCAATCAAAAAGGATCAGGGAGTGGGCCAGGGTGGGGTCAAGGTGTGGTGTACTGTTGGCCCAGACGATGACGTGTCAAGAAGTGTAAGGGGCTGGTGCAGCGGGTGGCGCTGGGAGGATGTTGGGTATATTTGCCAATGCAGAGGAGGTAGAAGAAAGCAATGACAGCCATCTGGCCAATGGCAAACATTTTTGTGCACAGGAAGTTGGCGATGAGGTTGAGTAGGTAGTATGGGAGTTGAAGGGGGATGGCAAGGTGTTGTTCCCGTGGGCGGTGGTGGGTGGTGGGTCACTTTGTGCAAAGCCAGCCAAAATTTTCTGTAGGGCTTAAGGGTAGGCCTCTTGCAATAGTCCTAGTAGAGGGCTTTGTTGGCCTGCCAGATGGAGCGTTGTAGAGATGACATAAAGCAAAACTTGRACAGTTTGGGTACAGACTTGGGATTGGCTACCAGTGACTCAACCACAATGCACATCAGTGGCATAGGCTGCCAGGACTGAGAGCTGTTGGGGGCAAGAGGTGGTGAGGGCTGGGTTGAGTTGAGGGAAGTTTGTTGCCAACCATGTGCACCACAGGTGCTAAAAGCGACGACATGTTTACAAAGTTGCTGCCATGACGCCAGCAGAGATKGCTGCATTAGAAGCATGGAAAAGAGCTTTGAGGAGGTTGTGGAGGCAGGAAAGAGGTACTGTGTCCAGGAGCAATGTTGTGGGGGAAATTTTGAGAAGAGTGTGGAGAGGAATGAGGCAGGGTCAGTGTCATGGGGATGGGAGGCAAAGTTGACCATCACATTGTGAGCCCCCGTGACATGGCAGATGTCAAGGGGGATGGCCTGGTGGGAGCAGAGGTGGACGGCAAGTGCTCAGAAGAGGCAGATGGTGACAGGGGATGCAGTGGCGCATAGCTTGTTGGTCCAGTAGACTGTGGCAAGGTTGTTGCATCAAATGGTGACAGAGCAATGACCAAGGTTTGCCTTGTGGTAGGTGAGGTATACAGTCAGGGCCAAGACGTGGAAGATGACTCTGGCAAGCTCCAGGTTGCAGATGGTGAGGCTGCCAGGCCCTGGGTCGTCCTGGAGGCAAAGGACAACATCCGATGGCCATTGGATTAACCAGACAAAGGGGGAGGGTACACTCACTGCCAAACCAGATGTGGCCACGCCCCCAGCCAGAGGCATCAACAAAGCCATGGTAGCTTGGTAGGTGTAGCACAAGTTTGTTGGCATGGTGGGTAGGGCACACTGCAGCAAGCTGAATGAGCGTGCACCAGTTGTCAAGTAGGGCTTTGAGGTTGGGTGTGATGTGGAGTTCAGAGGCATCTGCGGGGAAGGGTGGCCCAGTGAAACGCCATGATGATATCCTACATGGCTTGGTTGAGGGTGACACTGGAGCAGAGTGTGGTGGTGGAAACATCACAGACAGTTTCAGTGGCAGCACAGAAGAATTGGGGGCTCTTGCTCCAGCCCATTTGTAGCAAGTTGGGGACAACAAGTTGGGTCAGGTCAGAAGGGTGTGTGGTCAGGAGGACATAGGCAAAGTTCCAKGCATCATTGGCATTGACAACSATGCACCAGTAGCCATCATTGTTGAGGTCAAGTTCCAAGAAGAGGAGAGGAGGGTCCAGTGGTGTACAGGCATTTGTGGGCATTGTGTGTTGCATTGTCAGGCTGTTGACAAAAGGGGAAGAGATGTGGAGACTCATTTTGTTGGGCTAATGTGGGTCCATGCTTGTGTTGCAGGGTTGGGTTTCTGGTGGGTGTGGTTGGGGCTGTGAGAGCCTTGGGGGTGGAACAAGTTGGGACTAAAGCAGGTATATGGGGTAAGGCTACAGGGAAACTGCTGTGTTTAAGTTTAAGGGATAGGGGTGGGCACTGACTTACTGCTGGCAAGGGCAGCAGAG